ATGCATTAATATAAACCTGAGATTTGCAGCTGCACTAATATCAGAGCTGCATCTGACCAATCAGAATCCAGAATTCAGGAATGCTGTGGTATAAATAAAATTATACAATGTTCCTGTATTTTTAAGTTCAAAATATCACTAATGTGCCTCTGTTACTCCCTTGATTTATTCATTCTTATTTATTATACTAATATATCTGTACTAATTATGCGCACAAACACTTACATAAAAACAATAAAAGATTAAATTTCCAACACACTCATTACAAACACATTATAGATTACAGCATTGTGTAGCAGAAGCACAAAGCTTTTGCCCGAGCAAACTTGATCATACACAAGTGCTTTATTTCTGTTGCAGGAAGTGCAGAGGATGAAGTAACACTGTTGTTTCAGTTGTGACCGAATTGCAGGGACAATATAATATATTCAAGTATAGCTGAAGTTTAGTTTATTATTATGAAGATTATTAGACAAAAGACAGCTTTGGGTTTTTGCATCACTGGTTTGATGAAATTCCTTCTGTTTATTTTCTCTCCATAGTCTGTGTTCTTAGAGCTTCTCTGCTGGCTGGTAAGTGTATTATTCATTTGAATAAATTTGATTTACTCTCTAGATCAGGGGCATCAAACTCACTTTTTGTGAACCTCTGAGGTGTCATAAACTACAGCTATTAAAGGTACATTAGGAAAGTTCAGTCAAAATTAGTAAATATTAGGTATTTAACAGTAAAGTAGGAGAGTTCAACAACATTTGAATGAATTTTTATAACTCCTTCAGTCCGCCTCAATGCCCTCCCATGTACACAAAACTCCGTCCCAGAATCTTAAAGCGTTTGATTAAAATTAAGATTAGCAAGGACTGTCATGACAACACTTTCAAGGATGCATTCAACTGCTTGAAAGCCAGGTTATAACACTATAAACACATGAGATTCAGCTCATACTGATTTATTAGAATGGCCAAGAGTGCCACTGCTGTCCTGTTTTAATTTGTTAGCTAAATGAGCTTTTAAGCTTGTGTTAGCATAATTAAATTACATACATTTCATTGCGTCCAAAGCATTGCCTTACCTGGCTCTCTAAGTAATAAAACGTATCTACTTGATTCAGTATGGAAAGTAAGCCATTCAAACAAGCAGTGTTGCTAATTCTGCATCCAACTTCAGCCCTTTCAGCAGTAATAAAATACTCCATCTTGCAAAAGCACCTCCAAAAAGCACGTATTGTCATTAAATTATTCAACAATTTTTTTTATCTGGCTGTTCTGGGTGTACTGGTTTCATCCATGTTTATTTATTTTTTTATTTCCAAACAGACTAAGATGAGAGTGAGGGGGAACTGAGAAGAATCTAATAAATGACTGACAGAAAGCCCATTAAAGCACAAACGAGCATTCTGAACCATAACACAGTTTTCCAAATCGTTTTTTTCCACCACATAATACACTTGTGCTGAGGCCATGGCTTAAATAATAATATTTTTTAATCGTGTTCTACACATTTTCTAGGTTATTTGTACAAATAAGAAAACTTAAAAATGACTACTGCACTTTTATTATTATTATTATTATTATTATTATTATCTATTCTGTTAATTAACACCAACAAACTAAGTTCTAAAAGTAAACTAGTAGAAAAAGAAAAGGATTGCTTACAGAAACTATTTAACTTTTCAACTGTATGCAATATGATTAACATTTATTATACAGATGAATGATTTTCAAATGTATATTAGGGGTTGTGTAGACTAGCCATTTAGACTAATACGTTCACTCATCACTGCTGTGGGGATGTCAACTAGAAGGGGTATGGAAGAAACAGCAAGGCAGACGATGAATTATGATGATAAAAAAAGCCATCTAAATGTAATATCTCAGTTTAGATGAAGCTAACTCTACAATGGAACATGATATCACTTTGTATGAAGTCTATTGCACTCATCAGTTTGTGTAACTATGGAAAAGATGACAAGTCATCTACTTTTAAGTGATACAACAACCAGAATAAACTAATAGAAACATTAAAAAAAATTACAGTAACCTGGTTACATAAGTTGTGCACACTCCTTAATTAATACTTTGTTAAAGCACCTATTGCTTGTAATACAGCACTCTCATGCCGCCTTCGAAACCTATTCGAAAGGTCTGTTTTGCGTAGCAGTGTTCTGGATTTTCTAGATTAATAAATACTTTAGAATTTAAGGTCATAGATTTCGATATGAGATGTAGCCCATGACAATAATCACGACGG